CCTCTAGTTCCCCTGGGATACTGGACAAGCGGTAGTTATAGCTAGGTGGCACTTCGGGATATTTTAAAGTTTCCCTTCTCGCTCCTATAGAGGTGCCTATCCAATGACCCTTAAAAGTAGGAGCCCTATACCCCTACATGGCATCTGAACCCTAAACCCTTTTAGGGATCGTTTCGTCTTTAAGGAAGGGACCCTAGCGTGGAACGCTAGATAGCCCCAAATCGGCTGACACCTGTTTTAAACATTTTCAAACAAAACCAGGTGCCCTAAACTCTAAACCCTTAACCGAGAAATCCCTCTACAGGGACTTGTGGGTTCGGGGCTTGGTGACCTAAGGCCCATATGGGGCTTTAGAGCGTAGAACCCCCAAACCCCGAAACCCTAAACCTTTTAAGCCCGGCTGCCCTGAATCCGAACAGACCAAAAGAAAGCCCCAGTAAAGTCCTATACCCTTGACCGGCAACAGCCCTACGCCCCGTGAACCGCCAATTGAAAGGTCGGAATGGCCAGTGAGAGCACCCCTTATGGTTCATCGAAATATTATACCCTGACGTACCCCAGACTCGTGTTCTCATTGTTACGGCCCTCTGTTGCATGAAACCCTACTTCCCACCTTGTTCCTGGCTTTGCAGGATTGCGGCAAGGTGTGCAGTCGGTGCATCCACCGACCGGTGGATGTTGCAGAGAGCCCGCCGTTACTTGTCCTTTTTATTCGGGGCGGAGGGACGGGGGCGCGAATTTCGGCTTTGGGATTTTGGGATTCTAGCATCCTGATATTCAGAAGTCAAGGTTTTGTATGTGTGTGTGTGTTAGTGTTTTCAGGGCTTAGCCCGGAAGTTTGCACCAAAACAAGGCCTACACCCTAGCCGGGAGTCGGCTTAATGTCAGGTTCGGTAAGGGTCGGGGGTTGATAGAGCTTGAGTATGTTGGCTGAAAGCATGTGCCTTGGCCTCTGGACCGCTCCATTGCCCGGTGAGGTCCGCCAGATGCCAGTCGTAAGCCCCCAAAGGCCAAAAACTTAAGCCACACAGTACCTTGTTGCCCGCGGTTGGGGATGTCAGGCGAACCTGTTTTACAAGAATTCCGGTGAGGCTTGGGGACATGTGGCCCTGCAACCTAAACCACAAGAATCTGGAACCGACAAGAACCCCGACCCTCGAGAAACTTC